AAATTGAAGCTAACTGATTGTAAAATATAACTTATGGAAATTGGAACATTACGAAATTTAATCATTAATTTTTTAAACGTAAACTGTAATTATAATTTTAATTATCCTACTATATAAAAGTGATGCTAAATCTAAGCATTTACTATAATTTATAATGCATAATATATGGAAATTCAATAATTATCTATCCAATGTAACAAAAGTTAAGTATATTTACGTATCCCATTATTTTAGGAGATTTAACAGGGGATTTTACAATCTCAAAAAGCTACTTGCTTTAATGATTAAACATGCAGGTTTGAATTTATAAATATGTGCCAAAACCACCCGTTTTAGATGCCCTAAAATAAAGCTATAAATTACGCCAACTATGGATATTGGGATACGTAAATCTTTGTAAGAATCTAAACTGACTGTTGGACTTCAAAACAATCCTAATCACATAAAAGACCTAATTAAAATTTTAATTCACACTCTGTGTGAGATTACATTTTTTTTCATCCAAACGTAGGAACAACGGGGAAACCATTATCAAACGTAGCAGGCTTACATATTTTTCATTCAAATGTCTGCTTTTGCTGAGGTAAATATTTTGTTGGTGAATAATATTACTTGATTTCGTTATGAACATTATTTGTCGTCTATATTTTAGTAGTTGATATTTATAACTATTGACATGGTCGACTTGTAGTTCAAAGAGACAGAGGAAAGATAATTTAGACTCACCAAGTTGTTCAATTAAAGAGGGTAAAGTCTTGTTTCATCGAACAAAATTGAAGACAATTGTCCAGATCAATAATAACTTGTCCTGGCCCCAGCGGCGTGATATTGAGAATTACGAATTTGGCGCATTTGTCCAAATGAATGTAACTCAGATTGAGTTGAAGTTGGTCACCATGTTTATTAAGAATTACGACCGTCTTACAAGGAGTATTAAATTCGGAGGTACCTCGATTCATTTGTCCCCACATGTTGTTAAGACACACTTAGGTTTGTCAAGTGTAGGGATGATAGATCCCAAAAAAAAAAAAGCAAGAAGGTTACCGGTTGTACCAAAAAATGTTTTCTGACGGAAAAGAAAAATTCTTTGGGTACACCGAACTTGTTGCTATGGTGCAACAATGCAACAGTAGATGGCCTGATTTCGTTGTTCCTTATTTGATGCTACTGTTTAGCAGCGTGTTGTTTCCACGAGTTAAAGATACACCTATAGGTTTTGAATTTCTAGACTATTTAGACGATTTAAATGAAGTGCAAGCATATAACTGGGCTGAGATAATACTGAGAAGACTTGTTCTAGGAGTAACGGCAGTGCAATGCTTTGGAAATTCATACGTCACGGGATGCATTCTATTAATGCTGGTACACTATTACGGTAACCTTCGTATGTTATTCATCTTGTTAAGAAACATATTTCGTACAAAATCAACTTATTCATCTTGTACAAAATCAAACATATTCATCGTGTTACTAAACATGTTCATCTGACCAAAAAACATGTTCATCTTATAATTTAACATATTCAGCTGATATTAAAACATATTCATCTTATAACATAGCATATTCATCTTATAATTTGACATGTTCATTTTACGATGAAACATATTTATCGTGTTAAGAAACATATTTTGTACAAACTCAACTTATTCATCTTGTACAAAATAAAACATATTCATCGTGTTAATAAACATGTTCATCTGAGAAAAAACATGTTCATCTTATAGTTTATCATATTCAGCAGATAATAAAACATATTCATCTTATAACCTAACATATTCATCAGCACCAGATGACATGTCCATCGTATAATTTATCATATTCAGAAGATAATAAAACATATTCATCGCATAACATAACATATTCATCTTATAAGTTGACATGTTCATTTTACTCAGAAACATATTCATCATGTTAAAAAACATATATACGTACAAAATGAACTTATTCATGTTGTACAAAAATCAAACATATTCATCGTGTTACTAAACATGTTCAGTCGATAATAAAACATATTCATCTTATAACATAACATCTTCATCTTATAATTTGACAATTGCAGGTGGTTTTCCTTGGTTATGTGACGAAATCATTTCCTAGTGTCGGCAAACAGTTGCACTCCAGATCGTCATTTTTGGAACAGTGGATCCAGCCAGAAATGACTAGAGCAATGTTTGTTTTTAAACAGATGGGCGGTTATGACGATAATTTTGTAATTTGATTCCTTGGATCTCTTTTTTCTTTTTAAAATATGTTTTAATGATATAAACATGATGTAACAATAATAACTGAAATATTTTTTAATTGTATACTTGTTGTTTTGCAGAATTGGAATTTTAAAAAGCCATTGGATGGTATGAAGATGGATGAAATTTCTTCCAACACTTATGTTCCGATGCAGTCCAAACCCAATTCAGATATCAAAGACAAGCTCATTGAACAACTAACGTTGATTAGTCAGGGGGTGACTGGTATAATCGCTTTACTGAAAGATAATGAAAATTGTGAAGATGAAACTGTGAAAATTGTGGATAAGGAAAGGACAACGCATACGGCTCTGATAGAAAAATAAGAAATGCGTAATCTAAATACTGCATCAAAATCGTTTGATGATGGACTGAAGCCAAACAAGTTGGATTTTGATGAGTGCAAGGAAGAAAGTGGCACTACCGATGGGTCTTTCCACGAGACAGAAGATGTATTCCAATGGTTCAAAGAAAATACAGTTGATGACATTGAAGTCTCCAATGTCGTGTTCGATGCTAACTTTGGTGTTAAGTAAGTGAACTCCATTATAGCAAATTAATTTGTTGTATATATATATATATATATATGTATATATATATTGTTGGCCAATTCTATAATGAAAAATTTAATGCCAATTTGTTGTATATATTTAATTAATGCATACATTTTATTTGGTCAGGGATACGATGAAGTATGGAGGATGGATAATGTCGAGGGTTGAGATGTTAACCATTAAATATCCACATTGGTTTTCAAATGCGGTGAGAAAATATAATTCTTGTGTCAATATATTGGGTGATTATATATATATATTGTATATAATTTTTTTTATTCTTGTGTCAATCAATCATTCTTTGCCGTAGGTCCTTGATTTTGTTGCAATACATGTATCATTGAATCGGAACACAGAAGATAGAAAAAAAAGGGGACTGGGTTTTACCGGCATTTTTCAGCATGAGACATTTAAAATTAAAATTGTAATCTTTTGAATATTTCATGTTTCGTAAGTTGTTTTTTGGTATGAATATTTATGTTTAATGCAGGCCATGGTTGTGTCGTCGTCTATTAGCGACACAATGATTCAAGCGATGTGCTTTCGAGATAAAACATTCACCGGTCGTGCGGACGAATGTTCTAGTATGTTGTTGCCTATAACGGATGGGAATACACATTGGTACATATGCATTGTTGATATTAGAAAATCCGTTATACGACTATGCGATACATTACGTTCAGCGGATTCAAATGCGAGGAGGATTGCACTCGCGCAGAAAGTGGTAATATCGTTTTGTTCAACATACTGAAATTGTAACGCCCATATGACATATTGTAGATACATTTTTGTAAATTTATATTGGTGATGTTTTATTATCATTACCAGATAGGGCGATTGGAGCAGATTGTGTCTTCCTGGGATGGTGATGGGTTTGTGGATAAGAATATTGCAACGCGTTACTATTGGGTGATCAACCCACATATTCCACAACAACCAAATACGTACGGAAACAACCAAATATCATGCTAAATTGTCAGTTATGTTCGAATTGTTACATATATATATGTAAATTTCTTCTAACTTATAAAGGATTGTTCGTCAGGTGGGATTGCGGCCTCTACGTGTGTCTTCAGATGTTTTGTCGTTCCTCTCCCTCAACAACTATTACTTTGCGTACACTCACAGAGGTAATGACCCGTCAGCGGTTAAATCTTTTTTTTTTCGATTAAAACCTAAAATACTTACAATGTTTTGTGCAAACAGAACGAGTCAGAGGAAGCAAGAAGAAGGTTGGCTGTCACGCTTTACAAATCTTCATTCAACCAAATAGAAATACGGTAAGTACATAATTTTTGGAATTATGTGAACATATAACTGTATAATTTTAAGAAATTTATACAGGTGACCATTATTATTAAATACGGTATACTGATGTAATGCCCTGTTTGTTTATAAATTATTTGGATTATCTATTATTATTATTATTATTATTATTATTATTATATTATTAATTAATTAATGTGAGTATCATATATATATATACATATATATATATATTTCGGTTTTATTTTAATTACCGTGCGGTCAAACCGGCACAAATTGTTGAGAAATTCGCATTTGCTAAAATAGTTCTCGGCTGTGATTGTTAGTTCGAATTTCAAACCTACTGAAAGCTTTGTGATAACTTCCGGTTCTTTTAATAACCTCCTTGTGCAAATTCGTTGGTAAAATTAATTACCATATTTTCCTTGATTTTTCATGCCTACAAATCATGCATATCAAGAGGAATTACTCATGTAACTTACCCACTTAAGACCTCAAGGAATTGTCTTTGATCAATTGGCAAAATAACAAAAAAGGTACACTAAGTTGGGCGTTGTCAAGAAAAGAGACATTTTGTTGTCCCTCTCGGAAAAGACATACGAAGTTGGCATTTTCGTCGGAAACGATACATTAATCACCCATGCGGGATAAATATCTGGCGTAGCCTGATTATCTTATTACGTGGCATTTAAACTTTTGGCATATTCATGCGTGGAATTTATGTGGCCGACACCGTGGACAGGTGGCCTAATTTTGGAGGGAAATCCCAACACCCTTGTTGACCACCGAGGACCGAGGTATTCATTGCGGGAAAATCACAGATCAGACCCAATCCCTCATTTCGATCGGCCAGAATTAAGGTATTTCGAAGAACCCTAAAAATCGTCACCTTCAATTGGATCTCAATAATTCATTTCAAGTATCAAAATATCAATAAATGAAAATCACGAAGATGTCAGCGTCTTCTTTTTCTTCTCCGTCGAACATTTTGTGCGATTGTCTGAAGAAGGCCCAATTGAGGACTTCGAAGACGAGTCAAAATCCTGGGAAAAGATTCTATGGTTGTAAGAAGTGGAAGGAAGGAGGGTGCACTTTTTTCATGTGGGCCGAACCAACTTCTCAAATCAACTCAGAAACTTCATCAGGTATGAATAATCAAGATTTGGGTTGTAAGGCTCAAGAATCTGAAATTAAGATTGTTTTGCTGGAGGCTGAATTGAAAGTTCTGAAGATGAAGATTTCAATGCTTGAAGATTCCAATGGGAAATTTGATTCTCAAGTGAAGTTGATGATGGACAGGATGAAGAGAATTCACTTGTTTATTGTTGGTATTTGTATTGGTTTGATCTTATGTGTTTTAATGAAATAAAGACTGAATTGTTCATTCAAAAAAAAAAAAGTGGGATCTGTTCTGATGTACTGAATATTTGTTGGTTGATTATGAAGTGGACTGATTTCTGTGTTTGTTGCTTATGAAGTGTATTGAATTGATTTGTTGAAGAAATGTTTTTTTCCCAGTTAGCACACACTGAAAAAGACAAGCAATAGATATTAGATATTGTCAACTGAGATCAAAATTTAGATCAAAATTCAGATATTGCCAACTGAGATCAAACAACAATGCAATAAGGTGTAAAAACACAACACTTTAAAACTAATCACCATCCATTAACCATAAATCATCCATTACAAATTCAGATCCAAAAAACCATTCAAACCAAAACAACATCTCATAACCATAACCTTCCCAAACAAAACAACACAGTTTTCACTTTTCACCATCACACCATAACCATAACCATATGTAACGCCCCGTTTATTTGTGGATTATTTGGGATTTATTATTATTATTTTTATTGCTATTATTATTGTTATTATTAATTGGTGATAATATTTATATTTTATTTTATTGAATGCCATTATGTTTATTTATTTGTCAAATGTGATTAAATGCTAATTGTGAAATTTGTTTAATTGTTTAATTGATTTTGTGATTTATTAAATTATTACTATGAATAAATGTGTATGTAATAATATGTAATATATATATATATATATATTTATTTTTCGATTTATTTTTATCGAGCGTTTGCATTCGAAATCGAGCCCGATAATTTTGTTGGAATCAAATTGGGCCCGAATATATCTGTTTAAATTTTTATTTGAGCCCGTGAGCTGCTTTGTTATCCCAACCGGCCCAAAAATCCTATTGGCCCAAGTTTCTCGGGCCCGGCCCGACAGATTTCCTTTTTCTTTTATTTTGGACGTGATTCTTGTGTTGTCTTGAACAACAAGATTTTCTCTTTCTCTCCTAAACTTATTACATGTATAAGTATATATGTATATATATGTACATCACGTTTTTCTCTTGGCCACAAATCCCGCAGCTCGATCCTCCTTCACAGAATAGAAAAAAAAAACGATCGCAATTTTTGTTCTTTTTCTTCCTCTGTGATTTTTCGATCGACATCATCTCCCTCATCACTATCGTTCTCTCATCACCATCGTCATCATCACCATCTCATCCCGCTGGTCATCGATCGTTTTTCCTTCATCCCCATCATCACGCTCGCCCTCATCTCCGGTGACACTCGCGCCGCCGCAGCCCGCCCCAATTCCGGCGACCTGCAACTTCCGGCGAGTTCGGTTTCCTGTGAGCAGCCACGACCGCCGACGAGCCCTCCTCGCAGCAACTCGCGCAGCGATCTCCGACGACCCCTTGCAGCAAGTTCCGGCGACTTTTGTTCGTCCTTCGAGCAGCCCGCGAGCCCCGACGACGTGACCACTTCCGAGCGTGATTCTTCAGCGACCTAACAGCAGCATCCCTTCTCCTTCTCAGCCGTTGCTGCACCTTCTATTCCGGCGAGACGCGAGAATCCGTCGAGCCCATTCGAACCCTTCTCGCTCGTTTTCCCGAGAACGGTATCGATACTCGACTTCTCGTTTATTTTGCGTTATTAGCCTTGTGTTATCATGTCTTGCGGTTTCGCGTGAATGTGTGTGTGTTCATGTCGATTGATGTGTTTGAGTGTATTCATGTTTAATGTGATGCTATTCATATTATATTGTTATGATTTTATGTGTTCGTATGTTCGGGATCTCTTCGATTTTCTCAAAAATCGAACGAGACCTCAAAAGTCGTGTAAGTCGGTGGATAATGGAACAATGTCGAGTCCTTGGTCTTATGAAAAGGCCTCGGACGATAAATTGTGTGTTGTGATTCAATTTCCAAATAGTCGAGCTTGTTAATCGCTGTTTTGATGTTCGAATTTTTAAAAATAGCTCGCTGCTCGAAACGATGTGAAATTTTGAGGGATGTGTTATCTGTTTGTTTCCTGCCTTGTGTAAAATTTTCATAATTTTTGGAGACCTGTAGCTATTTTTAATAATTAGATTGTCTTCTGTCCAGAATATTGTTAAATGCATAATAAATTCATTCCTGACTAAAATGAGCTGAAATTCGAATATGCCATGCCACTGTGACTTATATGTGTTGTGTTAAATTTTCAGAATATTTGGAGTTGATTTGATATGGATAATATTTTATTTATTGATTCTGCAGAATTGTTGTTTGAATTTTTAAAAATCGGTTACTGCATGGAAAATTCTGAAATTTTACTGAGAGTCATATTTTAGGTATTTGATCATGTTTGTAAAAGATGAGAATTTTTAGAGTCTGTTTTGTTTCAGTTTGAGTATAAATTCGATAAACTGCTGTTGTTCGTTTGAATTTTTAAAAATAGCAAGAGTTATTATTTATGGCTGAAATTTTTATAAGAGGGCTTTGGCATACTGTATGTTGCTGTGTAAAATTTTCAGGTTCAGATTCATTCATTAAGTCTGAGTATGGATTAATGTGCCCTTTTTGCTGAATTACTGTTTGAATTTTATAAAATAGGGTATGTTGAGTTTAAAGCTGAAACTTTGTGATTTTACATGTTTCTTGGAGATGAAATTTTTTATAAATTTTCAGAGCTTAATTCGTGGGTGGCTCGATCAACTATTTTTCACGCGATTAAATGATTTCAATTTTCGAGCATAATTGTTATGTGGAATTTGGATCGACTTGCTTTTAGGTTTTTATGAGAGTTTGACTTGGTCAAACCTTAGATGGATTTTTGTGAACTCCCTTAAGTGGTTTGGTTGAGTTTAGTGCCGAGTCTTAGTGTTCCACATCCACAGGACTTCACGAACTACTTAGTCGAACCGAGTTCGACTAGGTCTGTCTTGTGATTTCTGATTTAAGTCGAGATAGATATTCATTGTAGAATCTTGACATAATGTAGGTGTTTGAGGAGTCAAGCCTCAGTCCTCACCTTTTCTGATCTGCTATCATCAACCCGAAATTTCCAGGTGGGTTATTCTAAAACTATCTATGCATATGTGTGATTTATTTATGATAAAAGTTTGGTGTGATCTATGTATGAAAATGAGCATGTAGCCTATCGATGTGAGCTTGATGGCCATCGGTACGGTTGTCCCCGTATGATAAGATACGGTTACCCAGTGAGGTAAATCTCATTAAGACCTATGAGAAGGCCGTGTCATTGATGTGGCACGCACTCCCATGTTTCACTGATATGGCATGGCTTAGCTTTGATGAGCATAGATGTACATGAGTGAGTCTTTGATGAGACTATAGTCATTGATGTGGCTAGAGATGTGACATGATTTTATTGTTTATGTTCATGCTGCGACCATACCATTATTATGTTATTCATATGCATAGTGTGAGTACGATAGTTAACTGTACTCACTCCCACCTGCTCGTAACTGATGCAGGTTAAGCAGTCGGCGGGTGACGAGACAAGACGGGTGGTGGTCATGCTTTTATTTATTGCTTATTTATTTGCTTCCGCTCATTTAGGGAACTCATGTTGAGATATTTTGATTATGTCGTTTTGAACTTGGAGTTATGAATTATCTTTATGATTTGGAACTTAATGAATGTTAGTTTGGTTATGACTTATTATTCGTGCATGCTGTCTATATCTGATATTTTGGCATTTTCGGATAAATGTTTTTGGTTAAATAAGTAGCGCCCACTAAGTTTTTAATTAAATTGAGATTTGCAAAAAATTTATTGTGATTTTTATTAAATAAAAACTGTAAACCTTTTAAAATAAAGTGGGGCGTTACACCATAACCATAACCATAACCATTCACAGCAAAACAACTTTGAAGTACAAAACACAAAAAACTGTCAAGTTCATAACAACACATTCAGAATAATCATCAATCATCCAACATCATAGCAATTTCTGTTTTCCTCTGCCATCATCACTCTTCTTTGGATTGTTCATGCCTGACATAAGCTCAGACACAGATATGTACTTCTGTCCTTCTTCTTGAAATATTTGTTTGAGCCTAGTGTCCCTCTCTGAAAGGCAACTTTCTTGACTCGGTATAAATTGATCCACCTGAAATATAGGAGGCCCTTTAATGTTCACCCCAGAAGTTGGACCTCCTTGAGCAGAAGTATATTGATGGTACATTGAAGGTTCTTGAATGAATTTTGGGACAGTGGTTTGTTTCTTCCCTTCCTTTCTTTTCTTGTGGGCTTGGCCTTCACCCTGCAAGATAATTTATAATATAAGTACAACTTTGAATTTTCAATGATAAAATAAGGCACAAAAAATATTTCTTACAGGTACAACACTCTCTTGAGTTGAAATTCCTATTGCAGGAGCTTTGTCTGTCATCCTTCTAGCCTGAAAGAATACAAATTTTCTTTTTAGTAAACAAGGTAACATAATTTGAATTCATTATTAAATTTAAACCAACATTATAAAAGTACCTTCAACTTTTGAGGCCTATCTTCTAGATCAATGGCTGTAGGATATGCATTACCTTCCTTCATTAGAAGGCATCCTCTCTTGTTGTGGCCTTCCACATGGCAAAAAGTGCACTTCAACCCTGTTTGCTGCCTTTTGATAGTATTGGCTGGAGTCACAAGTCGAGGCTTAACCCTTTTTTTTTCTAATTCTTTTACGTTGAACCTCATCAGGTTCCATTCTCCTCACTCTAGTGGGCCTACCAGCTGCTCTACCATTATTAGGTGGCAATGGAGGAGAATATACTGTCCTTCTCCATTCTTTTCTGCCATTGATGGGCATTATGGCAGGAGCTTAAACCTTTTTATAGGTCTCTGTCTTGTAGCATGGATGTATGAAATCATCAATGTTCCAGCCTTGAAAATGAATAGCACTCACTGCATGGATACAAGGAATTCCACTCAGTTGCCACCTCCTACAACCACAACTCTTTTTTTCCAAATCAACTTTGAACTGATCACCATTGAACACCTCAATTTGGAAATTGAAATCATTAGACTTCAATGGGATACAGTCAACCAACTTTTCAATATGGTTATCAATTATCTCACTCGCCTTAGGACAAAATAAGAAATCCCACTTTTCTGCCTTATCTCTATTCAGTTGCAACCTTTTCATTAGGTAATTCATGATCCACTCAAGCATTGGTAAGATGGGCATACTTCTAGCTTCTAAGATGTTGAAGTTGAATGTCTCACAGCCATTATTTAGCAACATGTCACACTTGGGAAACTCACTGAAATGAGACTTGCTCCATTGATGACGTGGTTTGTCACTTAACCAGTCATAAGCACTCTCTTCCAACTCTTTCAGTGCATCCATTTACCTTGAAAAATCATTGACTGTAGATGCTGTAGCTGCTCTCTAAAGTGCATTCTTAAACCAAATCCCTCTAAAACCTGTAGTTGCCCAAAAGGTGCCTCACACAAAACCTGTGATCTGAGTTAAGCAACACTTGTTGAAAGGCCTGAATCAGTCCTTTCTGTTTATCATAAATAAATGTCCACTCATGTTGCTTTTCAATCTCAAGGTCCAATTTCAACAGCAAAATGAACCACTCCTAGTTGTCTCGGTTTTCCTTTTCAACAATAGCATAAGCTAAAGGAAACAAGGAATCGTTAGGATCTACTCTCATAGCACATAGTAGCACTCCCTTGTTGGGGCCTTTCAAGTGATAGCCATCCACTCCAATGATGGGTCTGCAACCAGCTTTAAATCCAACTTTCAGTGCATTCAAGCAAATGTAGAACCTGTCAAACAAGTTCTACCCACTACTATCATCAGTACCCAAAATCACTGTGCTCCCTGGATTAGTCCTTTTTATCTCATCATAGTAATCCCAAAGAAGAGCATACTGGTCATTAAGGCAACCAGTCTTTTCTGCAAGTGCTATCATTTTTGCCCTATATGCTTGTGCTCTAGAAAATGTCACTCTCAACTCCCTCATTTTACTGTCCCTAAAACCCTTAATCTTTCTGTCAGAATCACTTTGCAGCTCATGAGCATATCTACCAACAAGCCATCTTGAGGTAATATTTTTAACCTTTGCTGTGGCAGCACAAGTATGAGTGTGAGTGTACTTTATCACTTGCCAGGCCTCCTCTCCATTGATCTTAGTTGCATGCAGCTTCTAATTACAAGCAGCATCAACACATTTAGCATGAACATACTTCTTATCTCTTCTAGTTAATTTCACACTCTTTTGCATTTGATTGCATTTGACTAAATTGTTGTCCTCAGTTCACCTTTGGTACTGAAAACCAAACCTACCCTGAAAGTAGGATCATATAACTCTGCAGTGTTGAAATAGGATACTGGTGACCTGCATTCTTTCCTTCAGAACTGTCATCACTATGCAAATCATCAAATAGACCACATCAGTTTCATTTTCAACTGAGATACCATCATTTACACATTTTTTAACACCTTCCTCCTGACCATGCAACCATTCAGCATCAAAATCCACATTATCATCAAACATCTTGTCATCTACCTTGTTAGCTTCCATATCATACTCCCAATCCAAAATATCATCATCACTCTCCTCACTCTCCCCACCAACCCCACCATCAGCATCAAACCCACCATTCCTAGCTTACTCAGCAACCTCATCTGTAATATCCCATTTAGTAATTAATAAAGTAAGTATTCTAAGTATGAACTAATTACTTTTATTAATGCTCGTTCCTAGTTTCGAGCCAGTTATTAAGTTATTCAGCTAAAAATTCGACTTTAAGTCGAAAGTATTCTCGGTTCAATATTATTCAGTAATCGAGCTAGTTCAGTAATTAATTAATTCCAGTCTGTTTATTTTTATAAATGGATTTATAAGACGGGATTAATTAATATAAGATGACGAATAATCGAAATTGAGTATATTTTGATTAATCGTTTAAGATAAGTAGTGAACTGAAACCAAGTATGTTCGGTCATGAGTTGAACTTAATTAAGAAATAGCCGAGCCTTAGTACTAAATACTTCGAATTTTTCTAAGTTTTTAAGTCATCAAGATAAGATCATAATATTGAGCTTTAGCATAAGTTGATACAAGTTAAGTCTTGAAGTAAGGTTAAATATCCATGAACATTTATGTGATAAATGTTCAAAGAAGTGAGAAAAATTATTTAGACATTATAGTCTATTTAAATTATTTTAATAGAAATCGAAATTTTTAGAATTTTCGGTTTTACGGTAATCGTTCGGTTTAAGTCCGAATGTAATTCCGTAAATGAAGAATATTTCAAGATAATTATATTAGATCCTAAGAAGCAATATGTTCATTAAATTAAAAAAAATGTGAGTAAAGAATTTAAATTTTATAATTTTTAGTTTTACGGTAAACATTTGTTTTAAGTCCGAATTGAGTTCCGTAAATTGTATTATTCTCGGTTTATTAGCATGATCCAAGACCATATATGAGAATTACTTTTCAGTAAAAGAGTTTTAAAAATCAGCCATTTTGAAAGAAAATGCATAAGTAATAAAAAAAATGATTTTTATTATTTTTATTATTTTGTTCCAAAGATTTTTATAAGATGAATGGTGACATTTTTTTAATAGTATATGGAATCAATTACATCACATTAAGCACGAAATTTTGGTCATCAATTGGTGAGAATGAGATGAGAAAATCACAACAAAGTTTTGCTAAGTCTTTAAGTTAGCATTTTTTTTCAACAATTGATGAGAATTTTATTAAACTTGGTGGAATAAGTTTTATCTACCAAAAAGCTCACTCATGGCTATAACTAAAGGCCATTTTTTATGATTAATTATGTTTAGATAAGAATACAAGTTAATCATAAAATAGTTTATGATTAATTAAGTTTATAAGTTTAAATTGTTTATTTTGTTCATTTCTTCACTCCATTATGATGTTTTGCCAATTTGTGCCTATAAATGGAGGCCTAAAAATCAGAGTTCTCACACCAAAGTTAAGTACCAAAAGTTATATAAGAGTGAAAGAGAGAATAAGTAGTAGAAAATTTGGAGAAGTGAAGAATTTGAAGTAAAGAATCAAGTTTTTACTCTAGCAAGAAGGAGGTAATTTATTTATCTTAAAGTTACATGCTTATGTTCATGTTTTGATAATGAGTTTACATGTTTAGTAGATGATATTAAGTGTTTAATAATGTTTTTAATATGACTTAGATAATAAAGTTTTATATGAATATAAGTATGGTAGAAAATAAGTTATTTCCAGCTTATATATACGTCATATGTGTTCAGTTATGATGAGATTTTTACCTAGCTATGAAAAATCTGGAAATCTATGCTACCTATGGTTATTTCTTGTGTAAAAGAGGAGTACATAGGATCAAGAATCAAGTCATTTAGTTTAGTATAACTCAAGATATGAATTTTTAAAGTTTATCATGCAAGCTGAATTTTTATGTACTTGTTTCCAGCAGCAACTTTAAACTTGAATAAGTCGAGATATATGCATGATAAAATTATGAAATTTCTATGACATGTCTAAATATGAGTTAAGAATATGACTGTTAAGTTTTATAATTTAAAGATGAGAAATGAATAAGTTATGAATATAAAAAAACATATATGTAAAGATAAGTATATATATGCAAGAATATTCATGAAATGTTTAAGTTGTTAAAATGAGATGATCATGAGTAATTCTCATATAAGTGATGAGTAATTTGATGAAGTTTTGGTATAATATGTTGAGTATACAATTTTATAAAGATTGTATTAAGTATGACATATTAACATCATGATTAAATGTTATGAGTAAAAGATGATTATGGCTTGAGATTATTTTCACTTTCAAGTTAATTAAGTGAAAATTTAGTATAAGCCAACATCTAAAGATTGGAAAATATGATGTATGATGAATTAAGTATTTGATCAAGTTAAATTAAGATAAGTTATAAATCATGTTGATGATGTTGGTAAAAGTAAGCATGTTTTAAGTTTAAATACTCAATCAAGTATAATGTGAAATATAGTTATTTTCACATTTGAGTTATGACATTCTAATTATAATACCATATTGATGTTTATGAAGACATGATTTATAAGGTTAAGTAATTGACCTTAAGTAAAAGTAAAAAGAGAAGTTAAGTATAAACTTGAGAAAAAAAAAATAAGTTTAATGAATTTCTATAAGATTTGGATAAGTTAACAATCCTAAAATTCTTATTGAGTATACGAGCATAGTACTTAGTATATTTGTTTATATTTGATGTAACTTGCAGATACAGTACCAGTGCAGCACATATCGTTTTTCAAATGATTTCAAAGACAAAAAGGTTGGGACCCTGAATGGGTATCACGTTGAGTACGATATTGATGTCATATGGGATGAGGAGACCATCAGTTGTCTTAGAGTATATCCTACAGTTTAAGTT